TTGATATTGATGATTCACAAAATTAACTGCAAAAATTTTTCTAGGAAAATACACTTAAGGAACATAGCAATATTGATGAAGATGCACCTGGTAATATTATTAAAGTAAGTTATCTTCTTTTCATTCGTGTTCTTTGGTTTTTTTTTCTTTGATTAGAGGTAATGAATTTCTCCATGAACAGGATCTTAAAAAAAACCAAAAGGCAAGTAACTAAATAATTTTAGTCAATAATTTTTTCTGATTTTCATTCAGATTTAGCAAATGAGTGAACATGACTTGTAGTGTAATCAATCAAATTGATCATACCCATTATTTAGGTTGAAAAAGAAAAAGAAAAAATTAGTATTGAAAAAAAAATATTTCTCGAATTAAGGAGTCGACACATTTATCCACTTTGTAAACCATTCAAAAAACTTTCTGAGGAAGATGCGGAGGAATTATTTTACGAGATAGATAGTAATACAACTATTGAATTCGATCTTCCTAAAGATATAAAGGAATACCTCCAAGATCTACTTAGTGGTAATATCGAAAATGCATTGTTCAAGATAGAAAAACCACTCAGTGATACAAGTCAATTGTTATCATGGATTAGAGAAGTTTGTAGACATTTTCTTCTTTATTACTATCACAGTGGCTTACAAATGAATGGTAGTGAGAAAAACTGGTCAACTCAAACCATTTATCATATACTTGATTTGTTTTCAGTTTTTTTTGGGAAAACAATATCTGGTATTGCATTGTAGGTATCCTTTCTTCTGTTTATGTTTGTTTTATGCTATATTTGTTTTAATATTAATAATATTTATGATTACAGTGGTGAGATTATGAATGAAGCGCATAATGATAGAGCGTATAATATAAATCATACTCAAAAACCATCAAATTCTGGATGTGCAAGTAAAAATGACGCTGTCTTATATCAAGATGAAATTCCTGCCGTTTTGTATGAACAATCATTTGGGCCCACAGAATTCGTGCTAAAACACCAACTAGAGGATTTTGCCAAGCTGGCGCACAATGGAGTTGATGACTTGAATTTTCATTTTCAACAAAATGGCAATTGTACAACTACTACAGCAAAAAAATTTAAATCTATTGGGATTCACGGTTATAGTAAGTATTTTTCTTGTTATATCTACGTAAATAATATGAGACTAACTAATTTATCTTTTTAGAATATTTAGTATCTGTATACCTCACTGATATTATTCGTATTGGCACTTATAGAATTTATGAAGTATTCAGTTGTAAAATTCCAATATCGTATTCAGAACGATGGCAACTAGTTAACATTGCAAAGCTTGGTGCACTTCTAGAGGTATTTCTTCTTTATGCATATAAATATCTTACTCACTATTAAACTATTCAATTTCTGTTATAGAAACTCCTTATTGAATGACAAAATATTAAGGAAGAAATGTCAAAAGAAAGTATTCTAAATGATAGTAATACTGATTGTGTATATAAATACCAAACAATACTCCTAAAAGTAAAACAATTAATAAATGAAAATGGCATTATTATTGTATGATAATTGTCAGCAATTATATAATAAAATAACTAGATCAGACAAACTAATTTAACATCCCTACTTGCCTTTAGCAAGCGGAAAATATTACTTATAAGCTATTCAAAACAAATTTAACATTTACTCAACTAATTGGGTTCGCGTCAATTAAGCCTGTGAATAAAAGATAATTAATTAATTTACTTGTGAGTTTATTGATATTTACCTGTACTCAGCTCTAATTATGCCCGTAAGTAGAAAGATTGTTACTTATTAAGCTATTCGAATTATTCTTGCCAATTAAAATAATATTTCATGTAACGTCAATATTGGTAAAGCTGACCCTGGTAGTCGATTTCGCATACATAATCACATTTACTTTTGCATGGATTTCACTAGATGTAGTGTACTAGCCCACATGTTTTTGATCGGAAATTTTTTATTTTAAATTAACTAACAAAAAAACCATTTTCCAAGACATGTCCAGTAGTAATATTAATACCGTAAAGTCTGGAAAGATAGCACCCCCCCGAAAGATAGCATCCCCTACTTTAAAACAATTGAGCGTCAATATAAAAAAAATGTTACACATATGTAAAAATGGGATGCTATCTTTCCAGACTTTACGGTATTGATATTATTATTATCGTTAACGAATTAACGGGTTGACGGATTGTAACACCAAGTCCTATAAGCTAACTGTAATCTGTTAAAAACCCGTTATGCAAAATTTCTTAACGTTAACCCGGTAATCCGTTAACTACCGGATAAGGTCTTAATGGGTCGTACACTAATAGGATAATTTTCAGAGACAGGCTGTTATACACTATAGAAAATTTTAAGAAATCCGTTATAGAGCAAGTTTTTTAAATAGTAATAATAAAAAATTCGGCTTTAATTCTCAGTTTGATATAGGGCGAAGACTATTATAGAAAAGGCCGTTATAGAGAGAGTGAACTGTATACACGGCATGCTTGCAACAAAAACCAGGCAAAGTGAACATTTGTATTACTAAGAATTTCAGGGATCAATAATCTTTGTTTAATGATATTTGTAGGATTATTTCTAGATAAAAATAGTTAATATGAAACTTATTTACATCAGATCTACTATGGAATCCAAGAATTATAGTACTATCAGAAGTATTTTAAAAAAGGAACAAGGTGAGAAACTTGCTCCTTACATTTTCGAAATAAATGATGCTCAGACACTTGATGCTTATTTAAGGAAAGGGAAAATCACCTATGAAATTTGTCTGAGAATAAAGAAAAATCATAACTAATAAAAGAACGTTGACACAAAACCATGATGAATCTAGAAATAAAAAAAAAACAGAAGAAAAATAATTTACCACAACAGATAGGCAAAAATTCCTATCATCAATAAAACGCTTTTTCACAGCATATTTTCTAGTAATTTAAGAATAAATCGAGTATAAATTAATTATAGTTTAAGTGTAATTTAAGTATAGTTTAAATATAGTTCAAGTATGAAATAAATAAGTAGAAAATAAATAAAAAACAAATAGAAAATCATGTTTATTTTCTACTTGAGTTTGTAAGAACGAGAATGTTTTAAGTGTCTCCCATAATAGTCAAAATATGCTTAAATTACACTTGAAGTATGCTTAAAACATGCTTATTTCATGACTTAAATCAAGAGTGTTTTAGTGGTATAATAAGCATGTTTTAAGTGTGCAAACTTTGCATAGCCTATCGGTTACAATGTATCAGGGGAATATCTGTCAGGTGACCCAATAAAATAATAATTCTAAAAATATTGATTGGGATAAGGGTATATGAACATTGGATAGGTCTTGCTGATAAAATGCTGATTCAAATTCTTCTACATTAATCCGTCCTAGATTAAAAGAACATTTAAAGGTGCATTTTTCACTATTATTAGTTTTTAAATATTTAAAATTTTTAGTATTTAATAATCAAATAATTAGTTAGTTTATTTAAATCGTGAGATATAAAAAAATCTTGTCAGTGTTTGAGCCATAGTCAATTTGGGCAAGTCAAAAAATTTTGATGTGTGCCACGTGACGCATAATTTTTTGGTATTGTATATTGCATATTGGTGATAGTGAAAGTGACTATATATAAAAGTCATGACCATAAAGTGACTGTATAGGATGTGACTATATAGATAAGAGTCTCATTATTTACATTATCAAACTACTTTTTTTTTTTTATTTGTTTTTAAATAATAATAACAACAATAATGTCTGCGTATTCTTCTGAAGGTGATCTTGATAGAACCTCAATGGATCAACGTACTAGACTTTTGTCTAGTACAGAGAGATTAAATGACAGTAGTAAACGTTTACAAGATAGTCATAGAATTGCTTTAGAAATAGGTTAGTTTTTTCTCATGATGGCAACAGTAATAATTGCAAAATTATACACATATATATTATTTGAATGCATGAATTAATTAATTAATTACTTGTTATTATTTTTAGAAAACATTGGAGCAGATGTATTGGGAGATATTCGTAGACAACGTGAACAAATTATACATACTAGAAATACAGTGTGTATTTTATTATTATTAATTAGAAATTAATTACACAAAGAAAGAAAAGAATTTATTAATTGTATTTCTATTTCATCTTTATATATATAGTTGATGGAAGCAGATTCTTATATTGATAAAGCACAACGTACTCTAAAGGGTATGACACGCCGGTAAATAAAGCAAAATAATAACACTATTTGTTTATTAATTTGAAGTTTTTTTTATTAACCAAGTTTTTTTTTTTTCCTCAAAAAATAATAATAATTAGCATGGCAACCAACCAATTTCTCACATTTTTAATTATAGCAATACTTGTTGCTTTAATTTTATTAGTAATTTATTTAAAATTCTTTTGGTGAAATCCTTCTTTATAATAATAATAAATAAAAGATAAGATTATAATAAATTAATTCAAGGCATATATATATATATCATTACCATTATTATCATATTATTATTTATATTAGTTCACTAATGCCCACACATTCTCTCTATCATCATGAAAGAAAGATGTATTTTTATTTATAAAAAGTGTTTTTGTATTATTTATATTTTTTATGCATACAAATTCCATATTTATCCTATTTTTTTATATAACAACATATTAACATCAGATTAATATTAAATAAAATAAATAATAAATAAAGTTCGATTAGTCTTTTAAAAACTTAAAAACTGTGTTTGGGGTTTAAAAATAATCTAAAATGGTTTATTCTTCATATCGAGATTTGCTTTCTATTTATAATAATAGAGAAATGCCATTTTCAATCAAGATTCAAAAAATTTAAGTGCTTATAAAATTGTATTTTGGATTTAACAGCATTATGATTATTTTTTTGACCTCCAGATAAGGTTTTTAATAATTACATAGATCACTAGATAGCCTAGGTTTTGATGAATCCACTACATAAAATCATATAAAATCATGTGTTTTTAATTTGTGTATTATTTTTAGTTAAAAAAAAAAATGAAGGAAATTTTATTAGCTTATAGTTTACATAGATGCTTTTATGACATGTAGAAATTTTTCATCAATATATCAAAAAAATTATTTGATAAGTGACCTGAATTTAATGTACTAGATCAATACCCAAAACTACTTGTCAGTAAGATTGCTATTCAGTCTGATCCAAAAACGATTTTGTTGTTATCAATTACCTTGTTTTTTAAAAAAAAAAAAAAAAAAAAGGAACTATCTGTTGAAGAAAATTTTAGCAACTAATGACATATATATGTACATTGATGACTGTTGTAATAGTTGAATATTATCAAACCTCCCATTAGTACATTGTTCCTCTAAATATATATATACTGTATATATGTGTGTGTTTAAATAACTCTTGCACCCTTAATTGGTAACACTATAATAAATAAAATATCATCCAAGAATTTAGTATGTCAAGTTTATATGACAAAAAAAAAAAAAGATCATGATACAAAGAAATAAATGATAATATTTACAATTGAGAGTTTATATTCCATCACAGATGGTCTTCTCCCACTTTTCTTTTTACTGTTGTTGTTGTTGTTGTTGACATTCATATTTAAGAGATTTATTTGCCTACAGTCGGTTAGTTCTAAATCACCATCTAATAATAACTGTGATTGTTGCGATCAAAGAGGATGAACAAGAAGGTATAACGTTAGTATGTGGTCATGCTCATCATAAATGTTTGTCTCGAATGTAAAATCCTATATAAATAAAGTAAAAAAAGATAATTTGTTACTTGATAAATATTAATGAAGAAAATAAAGATTACAATAATGACGAATATGAAATAACAGAAGATGAAAAAATACCATTAGATTTCAGAAATTCTTTAAATAAAACAAAAATGCATGATTCTGAGTCTGGAATGTCTTACAATAAATATACTTATGTTGATCACTAAAGCTTAAAACATAGCCCCTATATAACCTTTCGAAAGCGACTTGATCATTTAATCATTTTTCGCACATGTACAGTACACTCTTTCTATAACGACCCTTTCTATAACTTGCTCTATAACGAACTGAGATTTATGCTCGATTTTTTGCTATTACTCTTTAAAAATCTCCGTCAATAACAAATTTATATACTGTATAACGAACGAACTGTTCCCCATATCTATCTGTTTATTACTATAATCATTGATTTATTTTCTTCTTTAGCAATTCTACATTTTAACAATAAATTCCGATTTACATTTTTAGTAATTTTGCATTTTAATATTAATATTTATGTCCTATATCAAGAAATAATTTTATAATTTTTTCGGTTACATTCATATAATCAAGTCACAATGTAACTTCTTTACAAATCGAATCACAACCAAACATTTTCCAAAATTGTATAAAGCTCAGGTTATCTAAGAAATCAATAAATCTTTGACAATATCAAAAACAATTTTATCACCAAGGATTAATTAATGTCTGAAAATGAGTATATCATTATTTATAAATTTATTTTAAAGGTAATCAAGAGCATTGGTGAATATTGAACTTATTTACAAGATATTACTTATTACTTGTTGTTTATATGCAAATTATTATTAATTCTTAGTGTTAAAATAAACAAAAAATTGCTAAATATTTTAATATTAAAACAATTTTTTTGATCTGTTCTTTTGCTACTAGTTGATTAATCATGGCCATAATAATTAATCTGTGGCAACTAATTATTAATTATATTAAGTGGCTTACACATGTTAATAGTAATAGTACAATGATAATAACTAAATTTTGATCCTTAAAATCTTTTATATATAATACAAATGTTCACTTTGTTGGGTTTTGTTTCAGTATGCCCCCCATTTAATGATAAATGATAATAATATATATATATATAAAAGTAAATATGTAATAATTGGAAAAGTAATAATATACAATAATAAGAATCTTTATCTAAAATCTTTGATAATTACAAATATTCACTTTGTTGTGTTTTGTTGCAGTATGCCCCATTTCATGATAAATGATAATGATATATATATAGAAAGTAAATATGTAATAATTGGAAAAGTAATAATATACAATAATAAGATTCTTTATCTAACAAATTATTTATAATAAAAATGTCCACTAATTTTAAAGAAAATTTAAAATCTGTTGTTAATCATGTCATTCTCAATTACTTCAGTTGGCCAAAGTTGTACATCAGTAGTTAAAGGATAATAGGCACTTAATGTTTTAGTAAGAAAATCTTCCATAGTAGATCCCAAAGTATCTTTTCTCACTGACCATTTTATGATTGAGATTATTTGTAATTCTGACAATACATTTTTAGAATCTAAAAAGGTTATAATTAGTTCTTTGATTTCAATTGGTAATTGACTCAATTTATTTTTTTTCTTTTTTCTAGCCATTAATTCTGAAGACTGATGATTATTATTTTGTTTTGCATTGAAAATTATTCTGGAAGCCTTTAAAATCCTGCAGGCAGAATTATATTTTTCTTGTTGTAAGAAGTGATTTCTTGTTAAACACTGTTGAATCATATTACCAACACTTTCCCATTCATCAAAATTATAATCTAGTTGTAAACCTTTCAGTGAAGTATTTTCATTCAAAGCATCAGCTATTAATAAATGACCATCAACTCCTAATTGTAAATTTTTGTGTAAACTAAGATTCTGTAAGCCATTGTTAGACTTTAATGATTCGTTTATGATCTTTGCACCATCTGGACCAATAGAACAACTACTTAATAATAAAGATTCCAGAGTTTTATTTTTATGAATTCCAGAAAATATTAACCCGCATCCTTTATTACCAATAGGGTTTGATGTTAGATTAATTGCTTTTGGTACAATATGATTTTCTAATAATTTACCAAGTGATTTTACACCAATTTCTTCAATATTTTCATTTTCATCTTCATCTTCACCTTCATTGCTATTATTACTATTATTATCACCATTGGATAATCCTAGTCCAATATTATTAAATTCTAAATCGAGATATATTAAAGTAGTATTTTGTAATAAAGCTTCACATATATAATTTAATCCTTCATTACTAATATTGTTCCTTGAAATATATAAATGAGTTAGGTTTTTGTTCGCTTTTAAAGCTTCAGCTAATTCATTTGCACCAGCTGGTAGAAAATTGTTAGAATCTAAACTTAGACTGACAAGTGATTTATTTATTGTTAATGATTCACATATATATTTTATACCAGCCAATTGTAAATTATTTGTACCTATATGTAAATATTTTAAAGTATTATTGTCCTTTAACATATCACCTATATACTTGCCACCTACAGCACCTAAACTGTTTGATTCAATACCAAATCTTTCTATTGACTTGTTTGCTTTTAGTGCTTTTGCAATATGTTTTGCACCTTCACTTTTTATATTATTATAAGATACATATAATTCTTTAATTTTGTTATTGTTTTTGATTAATTTGGCTAAATTCTTTGCATCAGAATCTGTTAAATTGTTGAATGATAAATCCAGTGTTATGACAGTTGAGTGATTGTGTAAAGATTCCAGAATTAATTTCAGTGAAGAGCCTTTTAAATTATTTTTTGATAATTTTAAATGCCTAATGTTCGATAAATTGTCAAATTTTAATAACATTGCTAGTAATTTACATTCCGGAAAAGATAAATTTAATTCTTGATAATTTAAAGTTTCATAAACGTTTGTAGTCACACCATTGTAACTCTTTAATAAAATGTCAATGTCTTTTTCGGTTAATTTGTGTAAGTGGCCTTGTTGTATGTCTTTTTGAATTTGTGTTAGGCGTAGATAAGAAACAACCAGGCGGTGACCTTCGTTGGTTAAATAACGATCCAATGTTATTGGTGCACCATATGATTGAGCGATTGAATGTTTTCTAGAATGATTATTACTAGGTAATAAACTAGACGGTAAAGTTAGAGTTGATGATGATGATGGTATAACACTAAGTGATTTGGACCTTGGAAAACCTAAATTACTAAAAGTTTTTGAAACTTTTTTAATCATTTTTTAAAAATATATTATGTATGTTTTGAATATATAAAAATATATTATGTATGTTTTGAATATATAAAAAATATATTATGTATGTTTTGAATATATAAAAATATATTATGTATGTTTTGAATATAAAAATATATTATGTATGTTTTGAATATAAAAATATATTATGTAT